GCTGGGCAATGGGCCATGACATCCTGGATGATACTTCACCTTGAAAACCCACTTAGAATCAATGCAGCGCTTGCCAGGAGGCAGGTTAACGAGATCCCAAGTACCATTTGCCTTAAGAGCTGAAATCTCTTTCTTCATGGCTTCCCTCCAATGTGCGTGTCGGACAGCTTCTCAAAAGATGCGGGGCTCTGGGATGCGATCAACCGAAGCTAAAAATGCACGATAAGAAGGTGTGGCACGATCGTAGGAAACTTGGTGAGAAATGGGGATACCTCACGTGAGAAGCAGAAGGGAGATCTGTTTCGTATATGTCAAGTTTCTTGGGTGGACGATGCTCCCGCTGACTACGGCGGAGAGGGACGTCCTGAACTGCTTCTAGCGCGACATGAGGAAGAGGCAAAGCAGGTGCCTGATGATGGAGATGCACAGAATGGGGAGCTGGCGAGATGACGACCGCAGGTGGCGAAGGAGCCTGCTCATGAACAGGAGGACAGGAATTCTCCGCAGAGACGCTGCGGGAAGGGGTGGACGGCTCTACTTCGACCGGCTGTACGAGGGGACATGTCGAGGAAGGATCGGCCAGTCCATTGTGGTCCTCACATAATTCCATGGTTGTGGTCATTGGTAACCAATGAAAGTCTTGAGGGTCCTGGGCATGAAATGGAAAATAGCTTTCGTGGAAAATTATATCACGTGAGACCAAAATCTTACGAGTCATCAAGTCATAATAGCGGTATCCCTTTTGAGTTGCGGCATAGCCAAAAAAAATCCTGCACGACCGCGATCGGCAAATTTATGGAGACCACCATGAGTGTCCTTAGCATAAATAAGACATCCAAAAACTCGCAAATGAGAGTAGCTTGCTGGCTTTCCAAACAAAAGCTCGTAAGGAGTCTTTCCCGTCGCAGATGTAGGCGTGCGATTGATGAGATAAACCGCTGTAAGCACGCACTCACCCCAAAAACGAATTGGGAGCCCGGCATGAAACCTGAGTGCGCGCGCAACTTCTAGAATGTGTCGATGCTTTCGTTCAACAACTCCATTTTGTTGCTGAGTATCGGTGCAACTCGTTTGAAGTACTATTCCTGCCTTCTCATAATAATCACGCAGTGTTGCCATGGAAAACTCTAGACCATTATCGGCCTGAATTCTGTATGCTGTATGACCAAACTGCGTATGAACCGTCTCACAGAACATAGTGATATAATGAGCTACTTCCGACTTGAACTTGATAAGATATACCCAAACACCGCGACTGAAGTCGTCAACAATTGTCAAGAAATAATGAGCACCGCTAGTAGAAGCTGTCTGATAACCACCCCAGATGTCTACATGAATTAATTCAAAACAATGTGTTGTCTTAATAGAGCTAAGCTGGAAAGGAGTTCGACTCTGCTTAGCACGAAAACAAGAATGACATGGTGACTTATTCTTGACTGCCGACATAGAAATAAAAGGACTAAGTTGAGCGAGTCTCTCTGAGGAAGGATGTCCCAAGCGAAGATGCCAAGTCTCGTCTGTAACTTTGTGACTTCCATCAGCGGCAAAAGCTAGCTGCTCTCGATCACCCAAAAGCTTCAAGTAGTATAGACCATCACGGAGAATCCCCTTCTCAATCACGGTCCTGGAGTGTAAGTCCTGAAGAATACATAGATCACGCAAGAATATGATAGCCACATTATTATCTTTAGTTAACCTGCTGACCGATAACATATTGCACTTGAACTCGGGGACATGGAGAACTCGTTCTCGTTGCAACCAGAATCAATCAACCACTCAGAATCACCAAGAAACGTACCTGCCATATGATTTGTTGGATCCTCAATCGGCTTAGACATGTTGATGAACTTACGGAGTTGATCAAGTTGTGTCATGGTGAAACCATGCACGGGGCTGGGCTTGGATTCAGCCGCTGCCGCTTTTGGGGCACGTTCTCCTTGACCACGTCATTTATGATCACTCTTGTCACATGCACGGGGCTGGGCTCGGATTCAGCCGCTGCCGCTTTTGGGGCACGTTCTCCTTGACCACGTCATTTATGATCACTCTTGTCACTCTTCACATTATTATCAAGACGTCGCTCGCCTTTATTCACCTTGTCTTTGCTGTCTCGGCTGGGAAAACCAATAATCTCGAAGCATGTTTCTTTAAAATGCCCAGATTTCCCACAGGGAAGGCAAAGAGGCTTACCCTCACTAGTACGAGGCCTAGACTGGCGATCGGTGGAATCTTTGGCCGCGAAAGCAGCTGCTTCAGGTACGGAACGCCTCTTTTGCGCAATTAAGCGCTATTGTTCATCAGTAGACACAATATTGTAAGCTTCTGTGAGGCTCGACGAAGGCTTCATTGATAATATTTGACTGCGGACTGTTCCGAAGCTTTCATCAAGCCCCATGAGGAAATCAAGGAGCCTAGATGCTTCTTCTCTGGCATGAGTGCGAGCCTCCAAGCCGCACATGCACTGTCCACAAATACATCTCTCCAACGACGCCATCGACTGAGCCTCCTCCCAAATCGTACGGATACGAGTGTAAAACGTCGATACTGACATTTTTTCCTGCCAGAGACCGCTAAGCATGCGACGAAGCTCGTAGCCTCGCGTCAGACTTCCTTGACCAAAGCGAGCCTTAAAATCGACCCAGACCTCTCTCGCAGTCTTCGCATATTGAACGCTGCTTCGTACCTCCTTGTTCATGGAGATTCGAAGCCAGCCCTTGACTACGGCATCACACCTATTCCATGCTCACAATTCAGGATCCGCAGGAGGCTGGGGAAGGGTTCCATCAACAAAATTGAACTTGTTCTTGACTATGAGGGCATCCGTGACATTGACAACCCACTCACCATAATTCGAAGGGGTGAGAGGCTCACCGACCGGAAGTTGGCCGTTGATGTCCGACGGATGCAGGAAATAGATGGACGCTGGATCTTGTTCCGGTGCGACGAGGTCCTTCTTTGAACCAGAACTTTGGGGTTTCTTCGAATCGTCGTCGTCACCCATGATGATCGATTAGACGAAGAAAAACTAGGATAGGATCAAAGCTCTGATACCATAATAAATTGCAGCAGAACTAATACGAAAACAACACAAGACAAGATTTTTACGTGGTATCCCTGATGATTAATCAGGACTAATCCACGGGAGAGATAAAACTCTCCAGCTACGTTATTTTATTGATGAACAACTTGATACATTAACCATATGGCCTACAGCAACCTTATATACCCTTCGGTTTCTACTAGGGAAAGGAAAGGAACAACCAGAAGCTAATTGTGGACTACAAGGAAAGGAGCAGTCCACGTGAGCACAAGTGGGCCGAGCCTGTTCACAATTGAATAGTAACAGCTAAAATAGAGCGAGCATGGATACCTCTATTGGCTCATCTTGCCTTGTCCAACTCCATCCTGAACACTTCACACTACACTCATAGAAAATAATTTTCTTAATTAATTTAATTAAGCAAAGTGTAGGTAATCAACAATTTTATTAGCAGCATAGAAATAATATTCTTAATTAATATAATTAACCAAATGGAGAAAGGAAGAAATATTGCCTTATTTGGTATTTTGTTTTGACAAAAAAATCACTTGCTCAAAAGTTACATTGATCAAGACCGAAACTGAAAGGAGCCCAGCAAGAAAATCTTTCTACAATCTCCTATACAATCTTTCTAACAATCAAATTCACACAACCCCTTGGATCAAAACCTCTTGAAGTCTCGCCTGCACACATCGACAAACAACATCCCAAAACACCCTTTTTATTTTTTATTTTATTTTTCTATTGTAAAAAGAACTTTACCCGCACAGGATAAAATGAATTAACCGAAATTGAGAATCCGGCAAAATATGACCCACCTAGTAAGTGGCGGATCCATGGGCTCTAGGGGTGTCCCAATCCAAATATAAAAGCTATTTTTTTATCTAGTTATTTTCAAAACTAACGATTAAACCCAATTACGGGCTCCCGTAGTCTAGTAGGATATATCGAGAGAGATTTATAGAGCATTGTTGGATACCAATTGTATTTTACAATTTTTCCAAAGTTAACACGTCATGTGCTTATTTTCCGTTGGACAAGTTAGATATTTTCTTATTTAATAATTATCTTAACTTAATTTTTAGGAGAGGACACTCCTATTTAAAATTTCTGGATCCGCCACTGCACCCGATACCTAGTAAGAGAAAGAAAGCATAAGAAACCCAGCACAGCAAAGTACAGCGACACATGGCAGGCGTGTCTGCAATCCACAACCCAAGAACTCTACAATCAAACATCCTCCTGGGGAGAATGTTGTTCTGGGAATAATTTCGTATCGAACTAGGCAAAGAATTGCGATTCTCTAGTTGGATATTCTTGTTCTTTTGCTGTTCCCATATAAAAAATGAAGTTTTAGTTGAAAAACGAAGAAATTGGGGGGGATCAAAACAATACTATATCACTACCACTAGAATATTAAAACCCATCATCAATTAAAGAAACTGCATAAAATCTCCATTAGGCTTAGAAAATAGACCATACCGTTGCAAAATAGTGGACGAAATCGAGCAATACAATTTGGTCCGCACCGTAGACCGTTCAAAGTGGTTTGATCTAGTTCATGGTCTATATTATTACATGATGTTTTGATTTCTTAGTCTTCTTTGGTCTAGACCGCGGTTTATCGGACTAAATCATGGACTCAGCTGACTTCTCAACATGTGTAAGCATACCGATTCATATGACATCATGTTAATGTTTATGACGTTATGATGCAAGTTGGGTTGCTTTGACTTTGTATCTTTATTATTTACTGAGATTTAGAGTATCAAAATTATTAATGCATGTCGGAATTAATGTTTTAAGGCAAAAAAGAAAATATTTTTCTCGATTATTGATTAAATTTTTCATGTACTTGAGTAAACAACTTGTTCATTTTTCCGTTCAATATGATCTATTCGACTGTACCGAACTAAACCTTACAAATATGATTTATTCTCTAAACTATACTGCACGCCCTCGATATGAAATTATTTGATCTCGTTTGATCCGGACCAGACCTCACCGCACTACTTCCCCGCCCTACTCCCATCATGAGTTTCAAGTTTCAACTATTTAAATAGTGGATACGGAAAGGTGTTTCCATCATTCTAAGAACAGACCAATCTGATTCAAGCTCAAGTATTGGGTCCCGAAGACGGTGGTGGAACCAACCAAATATTAAAATGGAGTTTGAGTCTGGGTTTCACTGTCACCAAGCAAACGGCACAGAGTGGGTTCGGTGACGTGTTATCAGGTTGGGGGGCCGGGGATCGGGAGTGGACTTACTTGTCGATTATCAATCACCTCCATTCCTGTTTACTTTTTCATTATAGTTAAGAGAGGGTGAACAGCCGGCCAGCCAACCATTGGCTTGGAGCAAAGGCGCAAGGCAAAAGGGAACCCAACAACAAAAAAGTCTGTGGGGGAATGCACTGATAAACAATGGAGTTTGTCGGATAGGTAAAGCACGGCGAGGGGTATCACCCCCCAGCTTGATTCCGTAGATGAGCCGAAGCTTTTAAGGAAGTGGAGCGGTGGGAGAGAAACGGACGAAAGTAAAGGCAGTTGTTGCGCCAACACTCCCTCTCCCACCAAACAAAATCTCTGTTTCTCTCCCTCTCTCTGTGTCTTGATCATCTTCCGCAATTCAGCAGCAGTAGCGAGGAATTTTGCTTGATTACAGTAAAAGGGTGCGTGACCATTTCTCTCTGTTGTTCTTGTATCACCATGATTTTACAGAGAATTCTGTTTGGAGGCCCCCCCAAGTTCCCAGCTTTGAACGTAATCTGTGATAGTGTAGTGTTTCTTGGGAGAACCCACATCAGAAATGGTTGTTTCTGCAGGTTCCCTTCATTGTGGAATTTGATCGAACGGTTGGTGTGATTGAAAGAGGTTCTTTCCAAGGCAAGTCTTATGAGTCTGATTCTCCCACTGCTGCTAATCTCCCTCTGAAAATTTCATCAATACTTCAGTTTTTGTTATTGAATATATCCCTTAATAATGCCAAGTTAGTGGTGCCTACAATTCTGCAGGGAGCATGGTGCATACATGCGAACTGAAGCAACAATAAAGAACCACCCTGCTTCACTGTAAAAAAAAAAAAAAAAAAATGTTTGTTTGCTTTTCAATGGCAGGGAGTCAACCTCCCATGTCTTCAAACTCTGCGTTTCCTCTTGTTCCTGCTGCTATTCCAGGTCCAGCTTCCTTCTCTTCACTTACCTCAATGATGTTCCTTTCTTTGAATAAAACTTGCTAAGTTAACTCAACTTCAAACTTCTCGCTCGGCTGCTCTCCTTGTGCAGCAACATGTAGAGAACCTGGATCACTGCTCACCACAGAGTTCAGCAACACCAACTTGGTATTCCTCTATTTCCCTCTTCTTCATTTTCTGTTCTTAATCTCGTTATTTTCCCATCCTAATCACTGCATCACAAGCTATCTCTTATCTTCTTTTGTGTGATGATAGTCGATAGACATACTACTTACAAATTAAGCATCATCTGTTTTGCAGTTCGCGAGCTACGATGACTCGAGAAGAATACAGCGGATAAAGAAGATGTTTGATGAGGCTCAACTTTCAGTGTCTGCATACGACACCGCCTGGATGGCAATGGTCCCAACTCCTACTTCATCCATGGAAGACTCTCCTTTCTTCCCTCAGTGCGCTAGATGGATACTGGACAACCAGCTCAGTGATGGCTCTTGGGGTCTCCCACTCCCTTGCCGTGGTCCATCCTTAATCAAGGATGCTCTCTCCTCTACCTTGGCTTGCATTCTCGCTCTCCAACGTTGGGGCCTTGGTGAACAACAAGTCACTAAAGGTAATAGTATACAACTTACATTCCTCATCTAGTTAGTTCAAATAGAGATTACTTGTAATTTTAGAATATTTATGCACACTTGTTGCTGCCCTGTTGTTGCAGGCCTCCGGTTTCTTGACTTCAATTCTGCTTCTCTAAAGGATCAGAAGCAGCATGTACCTGTTGGGTTTGACATAATATTCCCTGGCATGATTGACTACGCAAGAGATTTGGGATTGAACCTTCCTTTCAAGTCAACTGATATAGAAGCTATGCTAGATAAGAGAAATGTGGAGCTTACAAGGTATAATCCCCCCGGCTTTTTATGCTAACTGTGTATGCATGGATTGCTTCCCTATTTATCCTCTCATTTCATTCTCTCCTACATTAGTGGGTTCGGTAGAAATGCAGAGGGAAGGAGAGCCTACTTGGCCTATGTTTCAGAAGGTATCCAACACTCACAAGACTGGGACATGGTGATGAAGTATCAGAGGCAGAATGGATCCCTGTTCAATTCACCTTCGACTACTGCAGTTGCTTTTTCTCATCTTCAAGATCCTGATTGCCTTCGCTATCTGTATGCCGTCTTAGACAAATTCGAGAATTCAGGTCTGTCCTTTCTAACTACAGTCCTCTAAAATCCTTGCCCCACCTTGTTTTCTAACATCTACTGCAAACCACTACGCCTATATTAGCTCCAGCAATATATCCATTGGACATACGCAGCCGCCTTTCAGTCATCGACACTCTTGATAGTCTAGGAGTTGCTCGCCACTTCACCAATGAAATAAAGATGTTGCTGGACAAGACATACCAGTAAGCAATTTTTGACTTATCAGATGGCACTTGACATAGCTGAAAGCTTCCTTTAAGAACAAACTCATTGGAGTTTTCTAAGCTCTAGGATTGCAGTTTACCTGAATTTATGAGTGAACTCGTGACACACCTATCACATAAACAGATGCTGGTTGCAGGGGGATGAAGATATATTTCTTGATACAACCACATGTGCTATGGCTTTTAGATTGTTGCGTGTCTATGGATATGATGTCTCTTCAGGTAATGCTGCTCAGATTCATGAAAATGGTGTTCTGGTCATCACATGGTGTTATTTTGGTACTGTCAGAACTTCTAACTAGCTGTGATAATATTACCTACAGATCGGCTATCTCCATTCTCAGAAGACTGTTTCTTCAATTCATTAGAAGGATACTTGAAGGACAAGACAGCCGTACTGGAGTTACACAAAGCTTCTCAAATAATTTATCGGAAAGAACCTATCCTGGAAGAAATAAGTTCTTGGACCATGAATTTCCTGAAACAGGAATTCTGCAATGGCTCAATTTATGTGGACCAACCTGGTGACAGTATCAGCACAAAGGTATGATTTACTCAGGGTTAGTGCTGGAATGAATAAGTTCTTCCATGGAATATGCTTGAAAAAGAAAAAACTCAGGAAGCACTGCAGTGCTTGGATCGATCTCTTTCTAAGCTAACTTTCATTTCAGGTGCATGATGCGCTCTCATATCCCTATCATGTTGATTTGGATCGCTTAGGCCATAGGAGAAGTATTCACCATTATAGTGATATAGATAGCACTTGGACCTTGAAGACCTATTGGTATCCCTCTTTCTGTTTTCCTCAATCTCAAGTACCTCTAGAAGAATTTTACTTCTGCTCACTGTGCTTTGCCTCCTTTTGGTACTAGTTGTCCAAACATTGGGAACAAGGATGTCCTTAAACTGGCAGCCGATGACTTCAACCTCTGCCAGTCGATACAGAAGAAAGAACTTAAGCAGCTAGGAAGGTGCGATTCTTGGATACGTTCCTTCTGTTGTTTGTTTTTTGCATGGTTGTTGAGAGGTTTATCATAGAAACATGATACCTATTCCAATGTATGATTTTGTTATCCTAGTTTTAAATCTTTATTTTTAGTTATCCTGCCTAGTTCTTATAGAGACGTGTTAGGAGGTTGTTAGCTATTCTTTCTTAGAGCTGTAACTTTAATATCTTGGAAGAAGCTTGAATTTGTCAGCCATGGCTAAATTGTTGCTTGTCTTCTATCATTCTTAGGAACTCTGGCTTCATGTATACAGGTGGATTATTGAGAATAAGTTGGACAAGCTATCATTTGCGAGGCAGAAGCTGGGCTATTGCTACTTCTCGGCTGCTGCAACTCTCTATGCACCTGAATTATCTGATGCTCGCATCTCGTGGGCCAAAAATGGCGTGCTTACAACAGTTGTGGATGACTTTTTTGATGTTGGAGGTTCCATGGAAGAATTAGTAAACCTTGTTCAGTTGCTTGAAAAGTACGTTACCTTCCACTATTTTGTTCTCACTGTTGCTTATCATTCTTCTTCTCTGTATGCAGTTTCAACTTAACGTTGTTGAAATAAATTGCAGCTGGGAAGTGGATGGAAGCACTGATTTCTGTTCTGAGCAAGTTGAGGTCCTTTTCACAGCGATTCGTGGCACCATTCGTGAGATCGGAGACATGGCATTGGCGCGGCAAGGACGTGATGTCACCCGTCATATAAACGACATTGTGAGTTAAAAAGCTCTATTATTTCCTTTACTTTCTCGGTTGCACTGTGACCTAGTAGGATTCCCCATTGTCATATATATATCTCTTATGTTGGGTGATTGCTTACCATTTTCCGATTCATCATGGGCTGAACATAATTTCCAGAGACAGGGTATTATGTGGGTATAATAGTCGAGATGGGTAGGAATATAATCTTTATTTCTACCATTTGGTAATGTTGACTATTTGTGACAGTGGGTAGAATTGGTGAAGTCAATGTTGAAAGAAGCGGAGTGGTCAAAGAACAAATGTGTGCCAACAATGGAGGAATACATGAAGAACGCACATGTATCATTCGCATTAGGCCCGATTGTTCTTCCAGCTCTTTACTTAGTAGGGCCAAAACTCTCGGAGGAGATGGTGAGTGGTGCAGAGTATAAGAATCTGTATGAAGGGATGAGCACTTGTGGTCGCTTGCTCAATGACTGGAGAGGATGCCCGGTAACAAAAACGTGCTCTCTACATCTCTATTCATAACTCAAAGCAAGTTTTGTGGGTTTGGCGATGAGTTTTAGACTGTATGTGTTACTATGGTTTCTGCAGAGGGATTCGGAGCAAGGGACGGTGAATGCAGTGTCATTGTTGCTGCTTGAAGGCGACCGGACCTTGGATGACGCCGTGGAAGAGGTGAGGGAAGCAATCGAGAAGGAGAGGAAGCAATTGTTGAGGTTGGTGTTGTTGGAGGAGGGGGAGAAGGGAATGCCAAAATGCTGCAAGCAATTGTTTTGGAACATGACAAAGGTGCTTCACCTTTTCTACATGAAGGATGATGGATTCACTAATGAGGATATCGTCAATGTAGCCAAATCTATCGTTAATGAACCCATCCACCTTGCTCCTTAATGATATGCAATTCGCCCGCGTCCACAATGGTGAAGTTTTAAAAGAAAGAAGCTTTACTCTAATGGAGTGGAATCGGGGCGCCAAGCAATTTTGCTTTGTGACACAATTGATCCACTTATTATTATATAAAACATGAAAGCTGGGTACGCTTTTTCGCCCAAAGTTTTTGAACACAGTTTCAATTCTTAACGTTTAGTGGGCGACGGGAAGAAGAGCCTCTTATCGAGAGCTTCCCATGGACTTCCTTCCCGAGCTCTACGTACCTTCTGCTCCACGGCGACCTTACCCTGAAATCAGCAATCACGAGCCACTGACCATGCCTTTGCTTCGCTACCTTTTCCCCAAATCAACAATCGCAAGAACTGTCCATACTTTCTGTACCCTCCATCCCTTCAAGACCTCACCCCAAAATCCACAATCACATCCACCGCTTTAGTCTTTTCCGTCCCCTCACAGCTGTTCCTCCACGCCATCGGGCGTGCTTTCTACAGTACTAACCTTATTTCCCTGGTTTAAGAAAAGACTTAATACTGCTTTCCGCTGCTTTCCCGTTCCATGCTCTCCGCCTCAACTGGAGTGGCCGGCGAGGTGGGAGGAAAGACGAGGTCTGATACGTCTGTCGAAGCAGCTACAATCAACCTTCAACAGAGATGACGATGACGACGAGAAAACGACGGCGACAATGATTTGGAAGAGTATGCCGAAGACGACGCCATTCGTTTCTCCGGCAGCCTTCACTCACCCTCCTCGAGCTCCACCAGCAGGAGCTCTGACACGGAAGGTCACGACGAGGAGAAGAATGCCGACGCCGACGAAGGTGTCAGAACTTTCAACCCTTGGCAAAGTGCACAAAAAAATCCTTTTGATGGCATCATCAGCCTGAGTTCTACGACCCAACATCAACTCTCAGGCCTCATTCGGTAAGTGAAAACCCCATCCTTTCTTCCCCTCTACCCTTTCTAGTATCGATTTGGGTCTTTTGCTGAATTTAGTGCAACAAAACAGGGGGCAGAAGATGTTGCCTTGAACAACTGGCCTGCACTATCAAGACCATAAACTGACTTACAAAGACAAAGAAAGGGATTACAACGCGTTCATGGATATAACAGGGGTGAAGACTGGTCCAAACTGGTTCTACTTCAAGCCCCAATTAGCCGGGAGAAGCGTTGCCTTGAGATGAGAAAGAACGGTAAGATGGAGAAAGCTTTCAGCCCATTTTCGAGATCGAACTGCCTCGCCATCAGGTATGTATTTGTTTCCTCTTTGATCCTCTTCCACGGGTTGTAGGTATTTCGCTAATACTAATCAAAGTGTCAAACTTGGTTGCTTTCTTACAGATTTTGACTCTTGAATCAGTGATTAGTATTGGTGGGGAGATAAGGAAGTTTTGGATGGGATTATTTGTGATGGAGATATCAAATTACAGAGGAAATCGCAGTCGAAAAGTGTTCAAATTAGTTCCATGAGACTGGGAACAACAATAGCTTGAAAGGTGTCAATTTTCTTTTCTTGGCAGATGGGTTGTAAGTGCTTTCTTCTCTATAAATTTTCTCTATCTGTGCATTGATTCATTTACCATTCACATTCTATGAGACTTTGAGTGTTTGCCTTACTCTATTGTTTGTTTCAGTTAAACAAAATCACCATCATTGTCGCTCGGTATGGGGTCCGAGAGGAGTTGCCGGAGCTCTCTGTAGTTTAGAGTTTCAGATTGTTTTCCAAATTGATTGGATTGCTCCCATCTCTAGATATTTTCGCTTACACATAAACTAATTATATTTCCCATTGTTTGCTTTTTTTAGAGGTCGGGACCTGTAGTGCTTTTGGGTTTTATTGTTCCAAGCTCACCCTGAAGATGTTGAAATTAATGATGGTATGTCTTGAATCATTTTATATTTGAAAGAATGGGCTTAAGCTGATAGGATAGCTTTATCTTGTTGTTCTTCAGTTTCTACATGCCACTGAAGACGTGAAAGAACTGGAATCTAGAATTGAAGAACAGTAACCTTTACAAGGTGCAAACTCCACTCACTGAATGTAAGTTTCTGAACCTTTTTCGTGAATTTATTGCTCAAATTGTATGTCTGCGAATCCATGCTTGAATGCTCAATTAAATGGATTCATGTTTGAATGTCAACCCTTTTCGTGAATATATGGTGTTCATTTCCCTGTTGTCTACTCTAGATCAGTTTGTTATTGTTTCTTAGTCACCTTTTCCATATTTTTGCATACGCTCTACTAATTGCAACTTCTCTTAGTTCCCACAGCTGGCAAGAAATACACCACCACCAATCATGCTTTGAATGAATCTTGCCAGAAGAGTAAGGTATAAGATTCTTCACTTTAAGAACCCATGTTAAGTTTCCTTTATATGATTTTGCTGTGGAAAGTCATGATCTGATAGGTACTCATTTTCTATTCTTCTTCGGCTTGCTGATTATGTATAAATAATTCCAGGATCATGCCCATGGAAAACTCTTCTGATAGAATGACAGATTAGTTCATGACTACGAATCAAGAGCTTCCACCAGTAAGGGACATTGAGGGCCTGCTATGGTTTTTTTTAATGAAGGTGAAATTTCATTAAAAAAGAATACACCAGAGGTGTATGAAAGTGTTTTCCGGCGAGGAAAAACTGGTGTTTGAACACAATGAATGCACCTTGACTTCTCGAACAACGATTAATAACACGGTTCACTCCTCTCCGAACAATGTTCGAACGAGGGTGTTTCATGTTTTTGATGGTTTTTGTGAACAATCTAAGTTACTCTACTCCTATGGAGGTTCAGTGAGAGCTCCGAAAGACTAAAAGCTGATTTGCAGAGAAAAGATAAATTTTGACATTGTGCGTCAAATGTTTGGTTGTGGACCCCTTGCTTCGTCTTCGTTTCTCCTATTTATAGCCATCCCTTGAAACCGTCGTGCAACCGCCTCTTGGTAGCCGCTGCTCCACTGCTTGGTGCTTGATGTAGCTTGCTTGACCTTGATTGTCTTGCGTGTTTTCCACTTAATGACCCTTTGTGCCATGGAGGTGTCTTGTTTGGTGAGTGAAGGCTTCACGCTTGGTGGTACTCGTGCTAACCACCTTGACATGACGTCATGCTCGACACCAGGGTGATTGGGGGTTTGATGGATGAACACTGACCCCCTTGGGGTGGCATCATGCTTGCAGGGTCTTGACAAGGTGGTCTACCATGTGATGATATACATGACACCCTAGTGTTTGGTATTGGTGCAAGGTAGGTAGATGGCATAATGCTTGACCCCCCTGGGATGATGTCATGCTTGACCCCCTTGACGAGACCCCCCTTGGACGAGACCCCCTGGACGAGGTCATGCATGACCCCCCTTGGACGGTTGGATCTCCATACTTAGCCAATTTTTACCTCAGCATCATGCTTGACCCCCTAGTGCTTGACCCCCTTGGACGGTGTCATGCATGACCCCCTTGTGCTGTGGGTCTCAACACTTAGCCAATTTTCGCCTTCCTTGCACGGTGTCATGCTTGACCCCCTTTGTGCTTGACCCCCTTGGATGGTGTCATGCATGACCCCTCTTGTGCTGCGGGTCTCAACACTTAGCCAAATTTTGGCTCTCTTTGCCACCACACGGCGAAAGGGTACTCGCGATGACCCCCTTGTGGTTGGGTCTCCACGACTTGGGTGGTTGATGGTGAAGGGTGTCAACACGCTTGACACTTGACCCCCCTTGCGTGATGGGTGAGTGTTTGATGGGTCAAGTGATGTGTTGAGGTACCTGGTATGAAGCCCAAAATACCATTATTTAGGCCCAACCTAAACCAATTTAATTAACATGGTTAAGTTGGCCTTATAAATCACTACCACCTCTTGAAAATAATCAATGTGGTATTGATTTATTTTTTAGTGGTAAACAAATGCCCCCCACAACTTAGTGTATAAGAATTATGCACTAAGTTGTTGAACTCAACTTGACCACCTAAAAATAATACTTATCTCGGCATCACCTTCCTTAGCCAAATTTTGGCTTTGATTACAAAGCAATGCACCCATAGCCTTTATAGAATGCTAGGCCCCGACAGAAGGAAATAAAACTTAACTAGCTCAATTTCCTTTCCATGTCATGGCTAGCTACTCAAGCCATGCTTCATCACGAGGTATCATGCCATGTCTTAGGGTGTGGGAGGCTTGGCATGCCGGCCACCATGGTGACCGCCCAACATTGAACCCCTTGACACCTCACGTCCTAAAGAGAAGGGACATAAGGCTTGAGATACTTGTCATTGATTAATCGATAATGTAGCATCCCATCCTCTTATGACAAGAAGGCCTCCTTGGACAGGTGGCCTGGACAATAAAGAGTCTACACCGACAACGAATCACCTGCTCATGCCATGTAATGACATGGATCCAGCCACCACATGAGTGTGGCTTATTAGTTATGACCAGGTTCTCACATCATAAATCTAACTAAAACTTGACACTTCGACGTCATTTTTTTAGACATTATTGGCTTATGATTTTCCTTTTTTCTTCTTTTTTCCTTTTTTTCTTTTTTACTAATATTTTATTTTATTTAATTAATAAAACACACTGTCAAACATCACTTCCCACTACCATCTTTGACAACCACCAACGTGCCAAAGGTGTACACCCACTGCCAAGTCCATGGGTTAAACCAGACCAACCATCCATACACTACTTGTCTTCCCTCCATTAGGGGAAACAACTCATTTGGTGTTGGTTTCAAATTTTCCAACTTAACAATGGATGACACCCTCTCAACTTGCTCTGTCTCAATGGGCTTGCAAGGGGTCCCATGATCCACTGCCTTGGCCACCTTACTAGACATGTTGGGTTGATGTTGAACCCGATGTGTTTGCCTCGTCCTGGGTGGTGCACTAGACATTTTCAACTCCTTCGACTCATCAAAGGGGCCAAGAGTTGTCATATGTCTTAGTTTACCCCAACTTGGCACGTGCTTACTCTTCCCATATGGTTGAGAAGACTAGTGTTTTGACTTACAGAGTTGACGACCACCCTTGTGGCCAACTTGACTCTTTCTAAAATCCATGTCTTCATGGTTTTTACACTTAACACATAACAACCCTTGATTCTTTATAGGACCATGATTGGTTGGTGTGTGTCGAGATGTCTTATTCATACCTTCTTGTTTGCCATTCATGTTTGGCATGCAATGGGGGGCTTTAGGCATGGACTTGCTTCCTCGTCCATCCCTTAACATCATCTCATACTTAGAAATTTTTTGAGTGGGTTGGGTGTGATGAACACTCCTAGACTTGTTCTCCACTGTCGGTGACATGCCCCCCTTTCCACTGGTTGGAGACATGCCCCCCATAGCCTTGTTCATGGTTTTTGACGTGCCCCCTTTGCCAAACCCAACTACACTACCATTCTTACTACAAGCATGTGTGGCTTGGGTTTGTTGTGGCTTATTGGGCATGTGTATCTTTCTATTGTTTGTGGTTGATGATATGCCCCCTTGTCGATCCTTCATGGGTGGCATGCTACGAGGGGCCTTGCCTCCTTGTGCACTATTTGACACGTTATCAAAGTTATGAAAATCATAGGTGGCATGGGTAGGCAACACCCACTTAGACTTGCCACTCACTTCATCCTTCATGTCTGATGACATGCCCCTCTGCCCACTGCATGGAGATGGAGATATGCCCCCCATGCCATCCTTAGGAAACAAATATGGTGTTCTGTTGGACACACCATTTTGTTCACCTTTCTTGACATCAACTTGCCCCCCAGCCTGACTCTTCATCTTCAACTTGTCAGGTGGTAGGCTTCCATGCACCTCTTCCTGCCCTTCTGGTGGTTTGCATCCACCAGACCACTTAAGCATCGATGGCAATGAGGGTGGGCAAACTTGTGGTAGCACATCCATAGCTAGTGACCCTCCACCAACTCTCATGTTCAAGAATGATCTAGCCTCTGAGACAGTTTTTAGAGTAACTATCTGCACAAGCGGCGGTTGCTTTACATGGGTGGTGAATGCGTTAGTAATATTCTTGTCATAACCGCCTTGTTGAAGAGGTTGTTGACTCATTGCCGGAGGCGGTACGTTCCGTGATCGTGGCTGGGTAGTCCGGCCACCGGAGAACAGGATACTTGTATACTCAGTAGCAATGCTTGGTGGCGGATCTATACCATTTTTGGGTAAAGAAATTTCTCGCACCACTGATTCTATAAAATATTTTTTAAGCTTATCCAAGCAATTTGTATTTTCTGTAGTTGCTTCAAGCAATTCATCCAAACGTCTATCTAACATAGAACTAAAAGAAGCAAGTTTTAGACTTGTCTGTTGTGAACTTCTAACAAGTCCATTCAAACTCTCTTCCAGCAATCGATTGATCTCCACCATCACTTGACGGTTCTCCACCACCATCTTGCAGTTATCATCCACGATTGAGCGGAGTGACATGGCAGTGGTGGTTACATCGACACAAGGTGCCGTCGGTGGCAATATCTCAATCATGCCATTGTTTCCGACAACACTTACTGATGCTTGGCCAAATTTGAACTTGGCCACCAACTCCTTCACAACTCCTGGTGAAATATCACCTTCTTGTTCTCTCAGTCGTGGAGCCATCAAATCAAACACACAGAGTCCCACCAGGTGTGCCAATTTGTTTTCCGGCGAGGAAAAACTGGTGTTTGAACACAATGAATGCACCTTGACTTCTCGAACAACGATTAATAACACGGTTCACTCCTCTCCGAACAATGTTCGAACGAGGGTGTTTGATGTTTTTGATGGTTTTTGTGAACAATCTAAGTTACTCTACTCCTATGGAGGTTCAGTGAGAGCTCGGAAAGACTAAAAGCTGATTTGCAGAGAAAAGATAAATTTTGACATTGTGCGTCAAATGTTTGGTTGTGGACCCCTTGCTTCGTCTTCGTTTCTCCTATTTATAGCCATCCCTTGAAACCGTCGTGCAACCGCCTCTTGGTAGCCGCTGCTCCACTGCTTGGTGCTTGATGTAGCTTGCTTGACCTTGACTGTCTTGCGTGCTTGCCACTTAATGACCCTTTGTGCCATGGAGGTGTCTTGTTTGGTGAGTGAAGGCTTCACGCTTGGTGGTACTCGTGCTAACCACCTTGACATGACGTCATGCTCGACACCAGGGTGATTGGGGGTTTGATGGATGAACACTGACCCCCTTGGGGTGGCATCATGCTTGCAGGGTCTTGACAAGGTGGTCTACCATGTGATGATATACATGACACCCTAGTGTTTGGTATCGGTGCTTGACCCCCTTGGACGGTGTCATGTTTAACTCCCCTTGTGGTTGGAGCTTGATACCCGGTAGGCGGCTAGACCCCCTTGCGTCTCGTCATACTCGACTCACCTTGGATGGTATCATGCTTGACCCCCTTGGACGATGTCATGCATGACCCCCCTGGTGCAAGGTAGGTAGATGGCATAATGCTTGACCCCCCTGGGATGATGTCATGCTTGACCCCCTTGACGAGACCCCCCTTGGACGAGACCCCCTGGACGAGGTCATGCATGACCCCCCTTGGACGGTTGGATCTCCATACTTAGCCAATTTTTACCTCAGCATCATGCTTGACCCCCTAGTGCTTGCCCCCTTGGACGGTGTCATGCATGACCCCCTTGTGCTGTGGGTCTCAACACTTAGCCAATTTTCGCCTTCCTTGCACGGTGTCATGCTTGACCCCCTTTGTGCTTGACCCCCTTGGATGGTTTCATGCATGACCCCTCTTGTGCTGCGGGTCTCAACACTTAGCCAAATTTTGGCTCTCTTTGCCACCACACGGCGAAAGGGTACTCGCGATGACCCCCTTGTGGTTGGGTCTCCACGACTTGGGTGGTTGAT